GAGAGGAAGTAGGAGCATCAGGTGAGTAACCTTATTACCTATGCAACTGGGTAAGAATTGTGACCCTTCAAGTCCAGAGCAATTGCAATTTTAAATTCAATTCAATAACAGTCATTTGTTAAATGCTTTCTTAGGTCATTTGTTGTCTTTGTAACTCCAGCTTTCCATTCAGGTATTTTGTTTTAAACCAAAGTCTGCTATTTTATAGTATTGCAGTGGTTCTTATTTATGTATAATTTTTCAGTCTAACAGTTTAAGGTAATTGCTAGGCAGTATATTTACCTGTGGAACTGTTTTCACGTCCGTAAGTTAAACTGTCAACACTGTCAAAATACATGACCATTTTAAACAAGGTCAAACTGTTTGCAAGTATTTCTAGAGCAGATTAACCTGATCCTTCTATAAACACAAATAGACAAAATATATCCAAAACATCCAGTGGTTGAAGACCCACTTGTAACAACATCCCTATTGATTTGCATCCATGCATTCAGCTACCACTAGAGTCTTCTGTTGCTTAGATACACTACTGACAACACATTTGTTGCTAAACAAATGGAGGATTAGCTACTTAATGTTCTTTGCCATTCTTTACTACCCAGACTCTGAAAATATCTCTTTAACCATTGATAAGAACCATTCACTCATCAAAGACTAGCTATAAATGATCCACTATTAAGGTGTCAGGCTAGTTTTTAAAGAGATATTATTTAGGTGGTAGTGAAGAGGTAAAAGTAGAAGGTGTTTTCCTTAGAGTTGAAAAGCCTAGAATGATTTAATTTCTTTAGAGCATTTACATTTTTTGTTGTTTAGTATAAAAGTTTAACCTAGTATAAAGCCATAGCCATTGCAATCTGAAAAATTATTCGAGAATTCAACATGTTCCTTGTTATTTAACCCAATATACATGTTATTTAGTATGGATTTTGTAAAACAGAAAATGCAAAGTAAATGATCTAAGATACTTTGTCTGTAATCCAGATACCACTGATATCAATGGGAAACTGACTTACAGGACACCAGGGCCGTGTCCAGATGAGCGCGGGTGTTTAATGCCCTGCAAACAAGTAGGAGTGGCGCACCTTGCGCAGCAGCTACTTGTCCCCAGGGAATGCCCATACCACGTGCACTTTGGTGTGTGGCAAGTTACCCTGGGGCAGTAGGGGAGGCTGGAGCCCAGCAGCCTTATCTGGGGTCCTGGGGGCTGCTGTGTCCCCCAGCTCCGCTTTTTAGTGGCACATGTTGCCCATGCATGACCTGCAGAAAAAAAAAGCAGTGCAGCGCATTCATGGGCACTGTTCACTTGCAGCCTAGAGAATACCTGACTGTGTGGCATGTGGTGCTCCACATGTGTTTGCAGTGTCACATACCACATAGCCGTGCTCATCTAGACGCGCCCCAGCGTTTCACTTCTGGGACTTTTGGGTTTTATGCAGCTGTAGTGACCAAGTAACTACCTTTTCTTCAGGGATCCTGCAGCGCACATTTTCCAAGTAGCTTGATGTATTTTCCACATTTGTATATCTCAAAAGAATACGAGCAAAGTCTTCCTCACTGATAGTGTTCATCCCATTTGAGTAGGTAAGGAATTCTATTTCTAGAACTTCAGTTTGTAGGTTATCCATAAACCTAAAGTACAAACAAATATTGAACAGGAAATAATACTTCACACTTCTACCATTCCTTTCACCCAAAGATTTACACAAAGCCAGGAAGGACCACAGTTCAATTTCCTTTAAAAAAATAAACAACTGAGTTCCCTGAATTTTCTTCTTCTGAGCTATATCATATCTTTTAGAAAAGCATCAAGTTTTGATTTAAAGAATAAAAGTGATGACAAATACATCACAGCTCTTGACAAGGGATTTCAATGTTTAATCCTTTTACTGTCAAAAAACTGTCCTTTATTTTGAATGTTGTCCGGTTTGAATGTTGATTAGTTTCAACATCCAGCCTAGAACTTATCCAGCTGAATACTGTTTTTCATTTATCTGCTAGTCCAAAGAGCAGATTATAACAGCTTTATTCCCAATGTAAGTACTTACAAACTGTGATCAGATCAACTCTTTGATAATTTAAATAGGTTGAACTGTAGTCTCTACGAGGCATGCTTCCCAATCCTTCAGTCATTCTTATGGCTCTTCTCTAAACTCTCGTCAAATTGTCAACATTCTTCATGAATTGCAGACAACAGAAGTGGATACACTGGACAGACTGGGGCTAGAAGCAATTGCATCAATACCAAATACAGAAATAACAGAAACCTCCCTAGTCCTATTTGATGGGTCCCTGATCATGCATCCAAAAATTGCAATAGCCTCTGTGGCCAGGATTTAGGCACAGACAGTAAAAAAGCCTGAGGTCGAATTGGTCCAAGTGACAGTTTTCTGTAAGCGTCACAAGTTAGATTCGTGGTGAACAGAACACGTTTGCCTTTTGGTGGGGGGAGGGAGGGAGATGGAGGGGCACAAAGGCTGCCTGCTTTGGCTGAGGCCAGCAGGTTGGGGGGCACTCCTACATACCTCCCAGCATGCCTCATGGGCTCCCTCAGCTGATGGAGACTGTTGAGAGCAGCCAAGCACCCAGGCCACCCTTGACTCGCTGCTGAGCACAGGTGATCATGCCCCCAATCCCCTACTGTGTCATCTCATGTCAGCCACAGGCAACCAGTGGGAGTGGGGAAGGGAGGCATCTGTTTTCCCATGCATGAGCCCTGGCACTTGGGCACCTACATCCCTGGGCTTTGCCTTCCTGTGTGGGAAGAGGCATACTCATCCATACCTGGCAGTCTGGTTGGGTTCCATGGGGCTGCACCTGAGCACAGGTGTTCTCCTGGGCTCTGTGTCAGGTCTTTGGGTGCTCGGCTGGATCAGTTGAGTGTACAGCGAGTGCTAGCATGCCTCCAGGCAAGGGGGGACTAGTGGGAGACTGCAAAGGAGCCTGGGATGCCAGTGGACACCGACCTAACTTGAACCACTAGAGTGTTACACTTGGAGTTGATTTCCCCATGATCCAAAAGTCCTTTTCAGAGTCACTGCTTCCCAGGATAGAGTCTACATACTGGGAGTATGACCTACACTCTTAAGGCAGAATCCTAATTAGGTACATACACACATGGCACTCAACCAGGTGCAAAACTACCATTTTTTAAATTTATGTATAATTTGCAATCTTATTCCATGTACAATGCAAATGTACAAGTATCCACATAACTACTGAGCATTCCCAGTGAGCTACACTCAGGCCAGGCAGGTATGCATGTATTTGGGCAAGCATAAGCTGTAGCAAGGCAAACACCTGTGATAAACGCCGGAGGAACACACCCCTCCTATCTTTTAGCCAGCTAGCTAGTGATAGGGCACTCATACAGGAAGGCCCAGGTTCTAGGCCTCTCTCACCAGAAAAGGTTTGAATTTATCATCTGCTTCATCCCAGCACAGGTTAGGCTGGGCTCCTGGGCAGCCAAGAAAGGGAGATATGTGCAACCATAAGAGAACTAGCTAAAGGTTATGTGATCAATAAGGAGGCTGCTATCTGAAATACAGTGGGTTCTGGGTCTAGCCTAGAGTCTTGCTCCCAAAGGAACAGAAACTTCCTCACTATCTATTTCATCCAGTGAATGCAAGGTGCAGTAGCTCAGCTTCAAGAAGAGAGATGCAGAGGAGACTGCATACTTTTGGTCACATCAAAATTCGTAAGTAGGTAAGGGATAACTAGAGAAAAAGTAAACACTGGTGGTACAAGTGAAGAAGCAGAAGACAAATTTTTAATTTTTTATTCAAGAAGAAACATGACTGTTTTTGGTTTTATGAATGGTTCACTTTCCAATGTCACAACTATATTCCTTCAACTGCCATAGTTAGAAAGTTAGCATTTGCTAATGGCTGCCACTGAGTTTTCATCTCTATTCATAATAGCCAATACTATGCGTAACATTTTTTGGCAAATATTTCTATTTACTTTTAAATAGAAATAACTAAAAAATCTTAGCAACATAGGCATATATGAAGACACTGCCTCTCCCCAAAGTGCTCACAGTCAGAAATGGTGGTAGTATCAAGAATGCACCATCACATCCAGGAAACAGGACAACCAAAAGGAGGATGAACAAGCACAGCACCTCCTGCAGCACAGTACACCCTTTCAGTAGCATAGCATGCCATGACTTCATGGTAGGGCATTAGCTTAGTTCCAATGTAAGGCAAGAATACTACCTGTCGAGTTTGTGTTTACACATTCTTCACAGGGTTCAGTTCCTAACCCCATGGTGAACGTTTAATCAGGGGCATACAGAGCAGCAGGAAGCAGTCCTGTGAGTCTGCTGCAGTGCTTTGGGTGTTTGCTATGGTTTCTATTTCAAAGGGTGTTGCTTCTCTGATGAGTTGCCTGGGACCACTAACAAACCCCAGCTTAGTAGGCAAGCAGCATCCTTTGAAGTAAGAACCCCAGCCAACAGCCTAGTAGCTTGTCCCTATTCAGCAAATTAAGTGGGTTGTGAACCACCCAAATACAAATGATCTGATCCTACTGTAATGAGCACTAAATTACCTTGCACATCTGATAAAATTATAGTGAAATGTCTTTTTGCCTCTGTTACAAAGAACACAAAAACACAATGCAAATTTTGAATGGTGTATATTTTAATGAAAGTTTCTTTCACCTTGTTTTCAAGTTTTTCAGCAGAAAAGAGAAAGCCCCTTTTCTCCACAAAAGAGTCTGTGATGAACTGAAAAGCAGATGCATTTAAAGAGGAAGTAAAAAAAATGTATATGCTATATGTAGTTAAAGGATCTAACTGGACCAGATAAAGAGGTTGGGAAGGCAAGCCATTGGATGAAACGTTAAGAGAAACTAGGTGCATTTAGTTTGCAGAAAAGGCAATTAAGGGAGAGAGATGATAGCAGTCTTGAAATATCTGAAAGGCTACATAAAGAAGAAAGAATAACCTTTTTTCCTTGCTGTAGAGGGTAGGACACAGGGCCAGGTTCAGAATCTCCCAAAGCGGGCTGCGGGAGCAGCAACAAACACTGCAGGGGTGGATGGCACCCCCTGCTCCCAGCCTCTTCTGTCCCACCTGTGCAGGAAAACCATACTGTAGGAGCCTCTGGGGAGTTTAAGTCATCCTAAAGCAGATGAAAATACCCCTTTCCTTCCCCTTCCTGCTCAGAGGCAGCCCGTTCCTGTCTTCACCCACCCCCTTCATTCTCTGGAGCTGGGGGCAGGGAAGTTGCAGAGACAGCAGGGCTGAGATGGGGCTGGGCTCAGCTGAAGAGGGGACAGTCGCAACACGGTGACTGGGGAGTTCCCCCCACCCTACCTAGTCAGAGCATAGGGAAGGGGAACTCTCATCCACGTCTGCTGCCCTTGTCGCCATTCCCAGCTGAGCGCAGCCCCTGAGCAACAGGCAGGAAAGGCTCTGGTACTTCTCTGCCCTCAGGACAGCAGGGAAAGGCAGGCGGTGGAGGAGGAGGAGGGGTGGGCACAGGAGGCAGGGGTAGGGATTTTTTGAGCAGGAAGGGGAAGGGAGAGAGTATTTTCATCTGATTTAGGAACTTTAAAAAGTCCCTGGAGGCTCCCACGGTGTGGTCCAATCCAAAAGCGGATGCGACCAAGCCACTGCACGCCCCTTGAATCTGCCCCGGTAGGACCTGAAGCAATGGCTTTAAATAGTGGCAAAGCAGATATCAGGATATTGGATATCAGGAAAAAACTTCTTACTTTTGGAAAAATTCGATGATGAAATAACTGCCCAGGAAAGTTGTATAATCTCCTTTATTGGAAGCTTTCAAGAAGAGGTTGGATGGGGATGATTTAGGAATAGAATTCCTGCATTTATGTAGGAGGTAGAATAAGATGATCCTTGAGATCCTTTTTAACCCTATGATTCTATGTTAGGGGATAACTGTAATGACCATTTTTTACAGAAATTATAAAATTGAAGCTCACCTATAAAAATCTTCAAAGTTTAGTTCAGCTTTTCCTTTCTTGCCAAAAAAGTGTACAAGCAACGTAGTATCGGACAGTAAACTTGTGATGTCATCTGCACGCTTAAACGTTAGAAAAGGAAAATTATTAATTAAGACTAACTGTATCAATTACAAACACATAATCCAAGAAAGCATTTTACAGATATCTTTCTTTTTTTCTAAATGCTATCACACAATAGATACTATGAAATGAATTTATCTATTCAATGTTTATCAAGTTATAAATGTACGTTTAGTATTGAAACAGTACATTTTAGTTTTCATACATGTTCCATAAAACAACATTCACTTAACTACATTAAGTATAAAACATTTAACCCTTCCCCCACAAAAAACCCCCATGACATGTTAATGGAATATATAATATGGAAAAGTGTGAAAAAACTTAAAGTGTGAAAGGAAAAACATATTAGAAATTAAGGTTGGATCATGAGAAAACTGCATATACATGCATGCACATCCAAGAATTACATGCAGTTTTGGAATTACATGTAAATAAAACATAGCGATTGTACATATTTTCAAACCATTTCTAATGTTAGACTTGGCTTATTTCTATAAGTATTTGGAACATCCAAGTAAATTTTCTTTTTCTGTTTTTGCTTTTAGCAAAATAGGCTTTTTGCAATAGGTGACTGAATGTTTGATCTTACTTTTTCTGAATATATTTAGAAAGTCATATGATTATAAAGAATTGCCATGAATATAACTATGTTATTTAGTCTCAAACTTCTGCTCCTAATGACCATAAATGAAGTACATTCTTACAAGTTGTCCCGTAGTCTGTGATCTCAGTAGCAGATAGAGACCTTATAATATACAAAGGACATATTTGATAAAAGGTACCTCATGAAACAGATGTGTCACCTTGTGAATCCTATGAATGAGAAAGCAGCATACATAACTAGTTCTGGCAACTCAAGCCATGAAATGAAAAGACATGAATTAACCACAGATAATCACTATATTCTAATGAGGGTTATGTATCATTGCACATTTTTACTGAATTAGTATTTGTTGCAGTTTACCTATGAACATGGGTATACTCATTTTATCTTGTTTATGAAGACACTTTAGTTCTAACAAAAAGAGTTTTAAAAGCTATACAAATGGGTAAATAAATAAGGCCACATAACTTCACGGTGTTCCACATGGTTGCAGTCCTTTTAACATTAGTGGTACTTCACACAGGAGTTTATTGTGGGTACATAACTGGCTGAATAATTGCACCAAAGAATTATTGCCAGTGGCTCAATGTTGGAAGCAATAATATGTGGGATTTCCCATGGGTTTGTTCTGGGCCAAGTACTGTTCAAAATCTTCATTAAATTACGTAGAGTATGGGATTGACTCTTAGTATCTTTCTAGATGATGGGGTAGCACATATTTTAGATGACAAGTTTAGGGTTCAAAATAACCTTATGCAAAGGACCTGGGGGTTAGGTCCAAACAGTATACTGGGATGTACTAACAGAAAGGGTTGCATGCAAGTCATGCCAAGTGTTTTTTCCACTTCCTTTAGCCTTTGAGAGCCCTCACCTTGCATTATGGTGAAATTACTTCAAGAAAGATGTGAAAAATGGAAATAATCTGGAGGAGAGCAACAAAAATGATTAAAAGCCTTGAAAAAATATGGCATATAAAGGAGAAGGCTTAAAGGAGCGAGGTTATTTATTCTGGAGAAGAGAAGACTGAGTGATAATTCGAGAACAGTCTTCTAATACTATAAGGCTGTTATCGAAAAGGATGATAATCAAAACAATTGCTCTCTGCTTCCACAGGGGACAGGACAAGAGAATTGCCGTAAATTGCTACAAAGAAGATTTAGGTTAGTTATTTAGAAGAATATTCTATCTATGAGAGTAGTTAAGTATTGCAACAGTTTACATAGGCTAGGGATAGACATTCAAAAAGTTTGAGCCTGAATTGTTTACATCTTTGCAGGTTAGTCTAATCTGGTTTGGCTAAATCAGTTTGTAACCCAGACAGATATCCCAGAAATGCAGGCACATGCCTGCAGTGGCTCAGGCTAGAAGCTGGGGGGCGCTAGAACAGCCCTCTCTGCTTCCACAGGGAAGAGCAGAGCAGGGCATGGCCAGACCCTGGCAGGACACTCTGATTATTCCACCCACCCCTTCTAAGCAGCCCAGCAGGGAATGTTTATCTGTCTTAACTCAGTGTTTATCAACTCATTAAGAAACCAAAGCCTCTCTCCATTAACTAATGGAGCTCTTCTTAAACAGCTCTTCCAAGGAAGGACATTAAGCGACCTGTTGATTAGCTCCAAAAAGCCTGTCTGCCTCTGTCCTCTCCCACAGCATGGATTGTAGTCAGCGTATGGTCTGCTAGTTAATGCGGAGGTGTCTGCGTAAGGCAGAAGGGAGGGGAGAATAATCTCTGCATAGCATGGAGAAGCCAGGCAGATGCTCTGTGCCTGCAAGTCTGTGCTGAGCTCCAGCCAGGGAGCAGAGGATAGGGGCCAGCCCTGCTGTGGAGCAGAGAGCCCCACCCAGTTCAGAGAGCATGCTGGGATGCTGGGGGTGTCTGGTTTATCTTAAACCAGCAAGGGGTCAAACTATGCTCAAACTAAAGATTTATGAATCCAAATACTTTTGACTATCTACTATACTCACAGTCAATCAGATTTGTTAGAGGAAAAAAAGGAAGACAAGTTTGTGAAATTCAAGAGTAGGTTTACAAAATCTTCTGCAGCAGGGATTTAGATGTCTTCCTCAGCGCGTGTAAATATATAGAGCTCTACTAAAGCTGGGGACCTGGCCTTAGAGGACTTAACCTATGAAACTGTCAGTGAGGCTACCAAGGTATCTAAATCTTGGCTTATTAAGAAACAAGGTGCAACAGAAAAATAATGTTTCTTCAGCATATGTTATGCTATTAGCATTCTGTACTTCTACAGTGAAGAAATAAAAGCTGTAAATGTTAAGCCTCAAGCCTTCAGTGAAAACTATGCAGATGAACCACTGTACTACTGAAGACAAATCCTACTGAAGCCAGTGCAGTATGTTATTTTAATCTACCTGTTTTAGATTTAAGGTCCACACTGTCCAAAACTCTTCCTGATAGACTACAGCCATGCCTTTTCACATTTACAAGTTTGATTGTGAAAATCAATGTTTTCAGTATGTATCAAAAGTTACACATCAACAACTGAATAGAAAATACTGAAGAATAAACCAAGAAAGTAGAGGAGCCAACAACATAAGTCTTTCTTTTCATTATCTAAGAGCAAATGAAATAAAAGAGAGACTTTTCTGCAGTTTAATAAAATTCTTCCAGGACTTCAAGATTACATCTCATGTACTCTGTCCTCCTCTTTATTCTTGTATTCTTCTCCAGGAAAAAAAAAAAGGTGACATGATGTATACATAGAAGGATAGCTTATTTTCTTCAACTAAAATAACTCTATACCTGAAATGAACCTGAAATTACTTCAGATACAATAATCTCTGACGGTTGTCTTTGAATTCTGTGTTGTCCTCCAGAGTAAGACATAATACACAGAAATACAGATAACTTGATTTTCTGTATGTTTCAAACAATGAAATCTATAAAGCACATTCAAGTAATTTCTCCTCAAATACACTGTATAGCTATCAGATGTTAAGCTACAACTTTTCATCTTGTAAAAACATTTTGCAACCTTGTTAGATTTAGGTTGCATTTATATAAATCTAAAGAACTATGAGAACCAGAAGATGAGTTAAAAAAAACTAAAACCAATGTTTTTTCCCCATCATTTACATTTGGTCAGCCTGGCTATTTATTAAAAAAAATTTGAAATCTGCTTCTGTACAGAATTCTGAGCAACTGAAAACTATACCAATGTGCCCTATGACTTAACAGCATTATATAACTTAAATCTTACAAAGGGTGAGAGTAAAATAAAGACTTTATCCCTTTGATTCTATTGTTCATTGTTCAAAGTAAAATTATTTTTTTTATGAAAGTAAGCAACAAAAGAACACAATTTATGTTCATGTAATAGGATATCAAACACTATTTCGATCTAATTTATTTAAAAATCTTTTCATAAGAATGAAAGTTAGGCTCATTCATCTCTGTATTAAAAGATATTTTATACTACTGCTAAGATCTCTTATATAAATACAAGTATAAAAGCAGACAACATGTAATTGAAGCACTAGTCCTACAGAGGAAACAGAAGCTGTATTACCAGCTCTGCCTTTGTGTGCCCATGGATAGTCTTTTCATCACTCTGCCTCAGTTTCCCCAACCTAAAGGAGGATAATTATACCTATTCATCTTTGTAAATCGGTGTCAAGTCCTTGCACAAACAGTACTGGCTTGATGCAAAGCCATTGAAGTTAATGGGAATCTTTCTATTGAACTCCAGAGAGCTTAGATCTGGCACGAAATTATCATAAACTATAAAGCATTATATTCTAAACGCTAAAAGTTCTCGTCAGTGTTCTAGCAACTTCAGTAACTCCCAACATCCATCAATATTTCATAATTTATCCTCTAACCAGACTCAGAAGCATTCAGATCCACTGACCAGAGGGCGCTGTGACCAACTGGGTATGGAAGAAGAGTACTGCAAAATATTTCAAAGCTTACTCATTCTTCTGTGAAAGATACCAACTTCTTTTCTTCCTGAAAAGACCTACTTTGTGGGGTCTCTGAAGGCTGAATCTCATTTACTCCCCTTTTCAACCTAAATAAGACCTTCTGAAAAGGCTGCAAGATTAGACAAACTATAATGTCACCTAGCTTTATGTCCAAATGCCCTTGGCATTATTCAGATGTTCAAGTATCTGAGAGAGATAAGGATAAGCTTAAAATTAGAAAAATGTTATTAAACCCACAAATAAGAAATACTGAGGAACGACAAAGAAATCTGATTTGTCCTCCTAAAGCCAGTGGAAAAAACGATTTACATGTTCGCAGAGATTTATACACATTTTAATGGAAGAATTAAAATGACAAAGGACTGCTTCAGTTTAGAAATTAGGAAAAACTTCTTTATGGTTTGTGTGTCCAGAGTCTGGAATAGACTCCCCGCAGAGGTGGTACAGTCACCTTCCCTGGGGATCTTCAAAAGACAACTGGACACACACCTCGCTGGTCATATAACCTCAGCAGTTTTTCCTGCCTTGAGCAAGGGGGCTGGACCTGATGATCCCTGAGGTCCCTTCCAGTCCCTAACTTCTACGAAACTATGAACGTTGAACTTAGCTACTGATAAACTAATTTCTGCAGGCTATTATATATCTCCATACAATGCACATCCAATAATGTATCCAGTTGCTGCTTCTTTGGAAGAGTTTATATTAAATACATCTACAGAATACTAATCTTAAATCCTTGTTGGCACATCTACATGAGATGCTACATCGCCGTAGCATCACTGGGCACAACCTGTGATGCCACAGCTACATCACCGAAGCAATTCACTCCCTCTCTATAATGTGTTACTATGGCAACACAGCGGCTAAAAATAACCATGCGCCACTGGCATGGTGCAGTACAGGCGGTTACTGTGCCACCATTTAGTACTTCCAAAAGGAAGTATTTAATGACGGCACAGTAATAATGGCACCGTAGGGGCATGTGTAGACAAGCCCTGTTACATTCAGGGACTAACGCTAAGAATTTAGCCAGGAATTTGTCAATTGGAAATAACAGAGAGAGAGAGGAATCTGGGTGTACTAGCTGAACACACAAACATTATAAACTACTCATTAGGACTAGGATGTTTCAGATGGAATATATTTTTTTAACAGAGATAGAGAAGTATTATGCTCATCTGGAGCACTGTATGAAATTGTGGTCACCCGTAATCATGAAATATAAACTCAAACAAATAGATGCTGAGAAAGGCAACTAGGATGACTTGAGAGAATCAAGGTTTATGTGATGCGAGGAAACTAAGAGTATGCCTATACAGGGTCTACATTACTCCTGATGTTGCACTTGAAAATAAGACCCACACCTGCTCTGACTCTGGACACTCCGCATCTGGTGGTATGACTGTAAGGCTACTCTTCAGACACCCCTGCCCAACTTTTGAGAGCATGAGAGAGACGGAGAGCAGTGGTGGTGGGCATTGCTAGAGTGTCCTTACCACCCCAATTCCTGATTTGGAGTGTGTAGAGAGGATGGAGTTGTGTTTTTCTCTGTGGTCATAGGGGACAGGACTAGAAGCAATGGCTTCAAGCTGCAACAAAGGGGTGGTTTAGTTTGGGATGATCCTACCTTGAGCAAGGGCTAGACTAGATGATCTTGTGAGGTCCCTTCTAGCCCTACTTTCCTATGACCCTATGACACAGTTGCATATATCAGGGAAACAGACTTGATGCCTCAATGAGTCCCTTCCAGTCTTACGTTTTTGTCTCATAGTCTACAGAACTACCTACATTACCTTCTCAAAAGATGATTTGCTTTAAAATGGTAAGTAGACAAGTTTAAGGGCTGGAATTGGATAAGAGTTAAGTGCCCTCAGTTCTTATTATTCACTTCACAGGATCAAGCCCCAAATGACCAAAGAGTTCCTAACTGTCTGATGTACTGTGAAAGAATGTATTTATTAATAATAGAAAAATATCTTAGAGGAAGGGTGTAGCACACAGGACTTGATCTTCTAATGCTGACTAAAGGAAAAGCTACCTAATTAGAAATATTACAACTTTGAATAAGCACAATGAATGGAGCAATACTAATTTAGATGACAACTTTTAATAAATGCTGGTTAAAAAAAAAACTACTAAAAGAAGTAAAGGAAAGAAATAAGATCCATAAAACTGGACGAAACATAACAAAGGGAAATAAAATGGCAATTATTCATGGACCAGATAGAGGCAATATTATACCTCTGCAAGGTCCGAAAAGAGTGCTTGGCTTGTGCTACGTCTCAGTGTATCCCAATAGCTTCTGGGGGCATGTTCCTCTCCTTCTGTTTTAAGTACCTGTAGAAGTTTCAAGAAGTACAACTGTTTGAAAACCAAGAAGCAATCATAAAAAACAACAGCTTACACACTTTAAAATCTTTTCTAACTAATCTTCAAAAGCAGGAGTTTATCCTTGTGTTTTTTTCCTGTACAAAGAAGAGTATTATATCACACTGCTTATAAACCAAAGGCGTTTCAAATGAGTAATGGTATTGATAGCTATTTCCTTATGACACAATGTGGCTTTGCAAGAAGGATCACCAGACATTGTTTTGATAGAGTAATGCTGAGGAAAGTGAAGATATATTGATGAAAATACAGTTAGAATTTTTAAAGCTATTTTTGGAACTGTATTAATACCTAAACTGTTTCTTGTGACATTAGGCTTGTTTTCTTATTTTTCAAATATACACATCAAAGGCACTATATAATAGTTACATACAACTTAACAGATCAATTACACCTTGTGGCGTTAAAAAAATATCAGTCAAACCCATTAAGTCCTATGTTTAATTCTAGGTTATACACTTGATTATGGCTGTCCAGGGATGCAATTTATTATGTGCTCTACTTGAAAGACAGAGCTGTTAATTTTTCCCAAAGAATACATCCGTGTCTTTTTGTCATTTAAGTGCTCAAAATGATTTCTGGAAGCCTGAGAAACTCTAACATTTTGTTCCCCACTTTGCCACCACCTATAAATGCCCCATACAAATACATTTTATCCTTTTTAACCAAGTACAAGTAACCTTAAAGACCTTAAAGAACCACAATGGTTCTAAGTTGGTTAGAGCTGCTGCTATTATTTCAGGGCTCTCTGGTCTTGTCAGAATAGATATGAGAGACAAAGATTGGGAATAAATTCAGTCTTCCAAATACAAGTAGGAAAAATCCTTATTTTTGTTATTTTTGGTCATCATATATTGTCAAACATTAAATAATTTATATTGCCATAAATTACAAATACTGTGTCTCTGAAAACACATGTTTTCTCTTAATTATAAAGAATCAATAACAATGTTTGAATACCAACCCAATGTGTTGCTCTATTGAAAAAACACAGAAAAGAATATAGAAAATATATATGAAGCATTTCTGGGCATTATAGTTCACAAAACTTTTGCCTGAACAAAATAATCTTCAATTATATGCTTCAAAAAATAGTAATTTTTTCATGTAATGACATACAGGACAATCTTTAAGTTAGTTTAGATGCCAACCTTGTATAGTGTGTATTATCTCTGAGAAGTACAATTTTAGAAATATACATACGACAAAAAGAACAAGAATAAATCATGTTGTTTTCTATAAAAAAACCAAAACTGTGAGTCTAAACTTATATATTTAGCAAATTATGTCTAACCTCCTATTTTTATGCAAGTTTTTAAAATATTCCACACACATTTTGTACAAGAAAACAAATTTCTGGAATCATGCTATGTGGCATAAGATTTTTAGCTAACAAAAGACCCAAAATATACAGCATTACACATTTTGTTGATCTATGCTAGTGGGGGCCAACCTTTTTGGCGCATATACCACAAATAATCCCCACACCCTCCTCAGGTGCCACTCCGATTCCCTTCCCTAGCCCTATCTGCTATTCTGCTTTCTGCTTCCTGCCAAATCTGCCACTGTGCTGCTTATTGCTTCCCTGATCTTCCATGTGGCACGTGCAGATTCTGCTCATGCCACTTGTGACATGTGCGCAACAGGTTGGCCACCCTGACCTATGCTATCAAAATCTAAATCTATTATACACAAACCATACAATCTCTGTAATAAGCAAAGTCATTTTTACACAGGTCATCCAGCACATAACACTGAGAAAAGCATGGAAAGTACAGTATAACTTCATAAATTTGGCATGCTTGGGACTGAGCACCTGCTGGAAATGTGAAAATTCTGGATTTTTTAAACGGGAGAGGCAGCGCAGGGTGGTGGATGGTGGCGGCAGCTGCTGCATGCAAGCTCCCCACCCTGCTGCTCCGGGACTGGCCACAGCTACTTCCAGAGCTAGTGTATTTTTAAGAAGTGCAGGATTTTCGAGGATTGAGGATTTATGAGGTTATACTGTATCCAGAAAACATCCATAATAGATTCACTCACTACTAAATGGAAGCAGCAGATTAGTCCGATGGGTAGATTACTTCATTAGGTTAAGGTATTTAAGGCCTTTGGGGCTGGACACAGGATACATTTACACCAGTGTAATTTTTATATTTTTTTAATACACTGATGTGGATTACATACCTCAAGATCTGGTGGAGTCAAATGAGCAATTATTCTAGGGTAGCTCTACCCAGTAGGCTCCAATTCTTGCACCTCACCATTATGTTGCAGGAAGGAAGCATTTGCCTTTTTGCCTTAAACAGTTACCCCAGTATAAACTGATTCATACATAATACCTACCCTGGTATTGTTTGACTCCTCAATTTTCCTCAGGTGATTCAACACTGCATTTAAACAAGTTGCACTGGTGAAGAATTCTGGTGTGTACCTGCTTCTTTCTTATACATGTGTAAAAGCTGATTACACTGGCACGTTCAAACCCTTTGTTTAACTTTTACATGCATCTATCCATAAAAACCATATTCTACAATTTTGTATATATGAACAGTTTGTACATTTTCTTGCTATTACTATACGAGTCAAACACATGTACAATTTTAATGTATGTCAAAATTATTAGTTGCATTGCATCTTACTAGAAATAGCACCTGAGGGTGTTTATAGATGTGCTCTGGGAGGTGGGGGGGCACTTTAATTAGTGCAGCTCTGAGAGCCACGCTAATTACAAGAGCTTAGAGCATCACATGTATCAGCATCCCTGTGCTGAAAAATGTCAGTGGGGAGCTTTGAACTAAAGCTCATCGAATGAGCTTTAGCTTAAAGCGCCCTGCTGCCATTTTTCAGCGCGGGAATACTGACATACGTGATGCTGATATCTGCTGGAGCACAGTAATTACCATTTTCCTGCAGATTAATCAAAACTGCTCTCACGTACTGTAATTACAGTGTGTTGGAACAGCATCACTGCACATGTATAGGAGCCCTTACAGAATAACTGGTACAGGCAACAGCCTACTTTGTCAGATGTTATAATGATGTTATCTACGAAAGTACCTGACTCTCTGAACCAGTTAGGCGTCACCCTTACTACCTCCTGCCTTACTAATATGCCTAACTACCTCTCTTCCTATCAGAGGTGCATTTATTTTAGCTGACAATACTGATCAATCACTGCAAAAGTTAGTATACCTTAAAAGTGTGCATTTTATTTTTTGTGAGGCAAGGATTTCTTAGGGATAACTTTTATTGGACCAACTATGTAGTTGCAATAAAGTTAGACAAGCTTCTGAAAGTAAGACATTCTTCCTTGTCTTACATTCAAAAGCTTGTCTAACTTTATCCCAACTACATAGTTGGTCCAATAAAAGTTATCCCTAAGAAATCCTTGCCTCTTGCATAATTCTGGACCACCATGGCTACAACATCACTCTTACACTACCATTTCATTTTCTGACATCTTACTTTCATCAAACATACCAATTATAAGTTTGCATTCAACTAGTCAAAAGACATAAGCAGTGCATGCTGTACTAGTTTTGTTATACCATCACAGTATGGACCATGGCTCTAAATAACAACCATGCAATAAAAAGAAAGAAATATTCAAATTACTTAAAGTCATCTATAACTGTGTTAAGGGTCTTGAATACCATCACATTTCCCAGATGTCATGAAAATGCTTAATACCATCTTTGATTTTGGGTTTCAGTGGTAGAAATTTAAAACCATTCACTGCTTACATTTCAGGTCCATGTTCACTAGTAGTTAAATTTATTTCATTATTTGTCCCACAAATGTTTTTTTTTTAATATTTCTAAAATCTCTACTGAAATGACTCTTTCTAAAAGCAAATATATAAATAGATTATTTACTAGAAATAGAAATGACAGAAGTTTAAAAATAATGTTCTTACAATTAAAAAGAGGAATAAATCTAGAATATGAAGATGGGGTAACAGCTCTATGGTTTTCTTCATTTGGACATAGGCCATAATCTGAAGCCTAGTAAGGTCAATGGAAATACATCACAGGACTTTAGATCATTAATAGTGTTTCAACTATTAGAGAAGTCTCAGAATATCATCTGATACAGAAGGGATCTATTTAACGTAAGTTCTGTGTGTGGGAAAGACAGATATATACAGAAATTGTAAGAATAGAATGATATAAAAAGGCCATTGCACCAAAGGCTGGATAGGCATCTGGCTGGGGTCATTTGACCACTCTTTCTTGCCTAGGCAGGTGGTTGGACTTGACGATCTGTTGAGGTCCCTTTCGACCCTAGCATCTACGAATCTTCTTACTCACATCCTTCTCATATCTATTCATCATTTCCCATACTTACCCAAATCCAAAATTACCCTGACTTTAAGGTGATCCCCCATAATTAGATTCTATGTATAGGAAATGTATAAATTTATTTTAATTTTCCATGTACAGAATCTAATTATTGGAGGATCATCTTAAATTCATACCCTCTACTAATGCAGGTGTGTGTGTGTGTGTGTGTGTGTGTGTGTGTGGGGAACATGATGAAGAGAGGCCAAAAATAGGGCAGACAGAAGGGGACAGACAGCGCACATAGTAGGGCAGATGATGGGGGAGCAATAATGGGCAGGAAGTGGGGGGATGGTGGCAGGGGAGGCAGTGGGGGACAGGCAGTAGGGGGATAGGTAGTAAGGGAGCAGACAGTGTGGATGTAGGGGAG